GATGAAAATAAATATTATCTTCTCACTCCATATCCCACATTAATGCAATCACTCAAAAAATTTTCACCAGAAAGCATTCGCGCTATTGCTCGAAACCCAAATATAGACTTACAATCAATAGGAATCTATTCAAAATCAGATATTCAACATCACATTAGAACACAACAATTCCAAGAATTATTAACTCAAATGGACACTATACAAAGACAATCAATAGACCAAAATTTACGCAAACTTGCAGAAACCGCAGGATTTGCCGATATCTACACGCAAGACTATAGCGGATATTTTAAAGACATTAAAGATTATATATATCTAAACGGTGAAAAATACCGTCCCCAAGATATATCACCGATTAACATTTTTAGCTTTGTTACACTCAAAAATGAGATCCTCGATTTTCTAGGATGGCCCTACTACATCTTAGAAAAATTGACTATTTTATACGCAATGTTTAACTTTATTGGATTTCTTTTCTCACTTTTAAAAGGAATCTACAACACATGTGCTATACACACACAAGTAAACAGACAAGCAAGCGTAGCACGCATACTCTTTGCAGGATTTTTTGGAATCTTTTCTACATCTATAAACAAAATTCTTTTAGACGCACAAATAAAAGAATATAACACAAAAATAGCAACACGACAAAATACATACGACGAAGAACATAACAATGTAGACATAACGCCAACGGCACCACAATTACCACCCCTACCAAATAACCATCCACTATCCCTAGTCCCACGAAATTTTCGAAATTTAGCCATCACACATAATCCAAATTTTCGACTCACCACATCACAAAGTCCCATCCAACATATAATGACACACCAGTCACAAGATGATAATACTTATGAACAAATTATTGAACAACCCCATACCACCGCTTTTCAGTCTCAAAATAATCATTTTTTTAGCCCACGATGAGCCGCCAACTTGGATCACTACACCGATCAAATTCCCACCCAACCAATCTTACCTCTCCAATCCCAATAATACCACTTTTTGCTTTTCCGCCACCCGATTTTCCATCTAGTAATGTAACATCAGGCATGAATTCCGACACTAATTCACACATCTCAGTTTTATATTCCATCTCACAACTCAATAACCCGAATATTGAAACCCCCGATGAATTTGCCGACTCAGAACCATCCCCATCCAATAATTTTCATAACTCTTCTAATTTTTCTCAACCCCCTTTTCAACCCATATTATCAAATAACCCTGACCCAATCACTTCCACACCCTCTTATGCTTCCCAAGTTACCCCAACCTACTCCTCATACCATTCTGACCAATCATCTCATTCTCCAGACACCCCCCGAATCTCCCCAGAGCTAGATAATTTTATTACCCTCCAACAACAACCCTACCACCTTAATACCCCAACCATAAACCAAATCTCCTCCACTATAAATTCATCCAATCCCCCTACCCCTACACCCTCTTCAAATTATACTGAATCATTAGCACCATCATCCACATCAACTGAATCTTCACTCAACACTAATAGAGCTTACCGCACTTTTAAAAGAAAGTTCCCCAACCATCCTTTCCCAGCAAAACCAGGAACAGCCCGTGAATACATCAACCACCCCAAGCATACTAACACAAAAGAATTTTTAGCCATCACCTTACCCTCATTCCCACAATACACCTTAAACACCCCCCACGACACTAACGAAACACGCAACTTTGTAGATGAATACGTTTTAATGCCCACTCTCTCTTGGACCTCATATTATCATTTTACTAACCCTCTTTGCTTACCTTTATCTAACACTCACATCGATATAGAGCGAAATACGGACATGCTATATCGACTCACTACACCACTAACCGCTAGACAATTTACTTACGTTGGATATAAAAAATCACTAAAAACACACACTGCACCTAGAGCTAACGAATATACACTCGAATACTATGATCACAACATCATCAGAGCTAACCAAGATCAATTCTTAGACGACGATCGCTTCGCTAATCCACAAATTACCGAGAAATTTTTCATCAAGACACCATATATATTTACACTAAACATCTTCGACCGAAAGTTTGATCACATTATTTCAGAAGCACTAACAGACACACAAGCATACGAAAGTTTTAAAGAACGCTTCCAAATATTTTCACTAACCTTTCATTTCCTTGCACCACACGAAAGAGATTTACACTGCTCACACGATATTATGTTGCGCACTAAACAAACCCACACATATAGTTATTATCGCTTCATCCAAAATCACTTTGACCTACACACACCCTCTAGACAACCACACCATCGCTTTCAATTCATTAATTCCAAATACACTTCACCATTTTTCCTAAATTTCACATATTGCATTAAAGATACTAACCTTCATGGTATTCTTCGCAATTATGATCCCATAACCCAAATGTACATCTTCTGTCCCATCACCAAGACCTTCAACGCCGAAGAATCCCGACCCTTCCTTATCCCGCACGAGTTTGTACAACCCATAGAAATCCCAATTTTAGAATTCATCCACAACACTAAATTCAATCACAAATTATATAATCTAATCCAAAACACACCTTATGAGTTTGCAGTTGGCACTGAAGAACTAACCACTATTAAGGCACTTCAATTGCTTTGGCCACTGCTTCAGACTAAAAATATCATCCGCATCTTAGCTAAACTACTAACAAATTCCGATCTCATCCACGACATCTTCCCCCACGGTTTTTTCCCCGACGACTAACAGGTAAGTATGAATTAAATGAATATTACTAACTAATTAAAATATTAAAAACTCACCATTCTTTATCCATGTTTTCTTTAGATTTTTAGTCTTCATCCGACGATCACCTACAAAAACCACAAAAAACAAATAAAGATCGCAAATTTCATCAAACAGATTTCAACAATTCTATTAATCTCTTACACTTATAAATTTATAAATTTAATAACAATGCAGTAAATTCATTTCTAAAATTTTCCCCACAAGCAGTAAATCTAATTATGATGAAAATTTGTAACTTAAAATTCCCCCATAACTAGCAGTAAATTTCCAAATTCTATGCAGTAAATTAATAAAATGCAAATGCAGTACTAACCTTTTGATATTCTCATTTATTCGCACAGAAATTCTATCCACACTCGCACAGCTCGCCCACGAAGAATTGTTTAAAATAATGAATTTCAGTTTCAAGTTTTCACACTCAACAACTCTAACATATAATAACATGTTTCAAACTTTCCTTTAACCCGGTTGGAAAGGAATTATATACTAAACAAAACTAACCAACGCAGCTTACTAAATACCACAAATCATAGAATAACAGCATGACTAAGAAAAGGAAACCAACGGTACCCAAACCGGATTAACCCAGTTTGAAACTGGATAATTTATTCTTTTGAAGACTATTATAAAGTCTAAGAAAGAAATAATAAAACACAAAAAAGTCGAAAGACAAACCCATACCACGAACAATTTGCTTTTTGGAAAAAGGACATAACCAACAAGACATAAGAAAAACCACAACAAACCCAACATAAAACGTTGTCACATAACAGGACCCCTCACAAAAACCGCATGAAATCATACTCCCACTCCTGGCCTAACCCACCAGGAAGGACTTCCTGAGCATGCTCTATAGCCGGCCTAACCCACCGCGCTACATCCACGCTTTGTGACCACACCTCTATTTTTAATAAGAGCTACTCAAGTGTGAGTAACTCTTCAAAATAACCGAACTAAAACAAAAAGCTTTTGTGAAAACAACTAACTAAAATCATAATTAAAAAATATTAAACTAATAAATGTTTTATAAAATGTAAATTACATTATGCAATACATAGATCAGAATACAACACCAAGGACGAACATCTAAAGACAAAACGACCCCACTACACTCGAGAGAGAATGACCAACCACAATCGATATGCCACTCACAATCACAACTCAAAGGATTTAGAGTACGACTTGACTTCGCAGAAAAGGACTTCATTGAACTAGACCAATGACCACCTCGATGTTCAAGTATACGTACAGATCCGAGTAACCAGGCATCCCCTCCACGCACAATCTCCACGCCACTCCCAAACTAGATCAGACACAAAAGAAGTTCTCCACGCAGAACAGAAAAACCTGAAATAGCCAACCATTCTGAAATCAGATTTGAGTTTGTTGCAAAGACTTAGTCGTTGTCACTAGAAGACACAACGTCTTATGTCTCTAACTCCAGCTTCCTGGAACTTCTTTAACAAAGAGGAAACGGAAGAAAATGATGTTCGCCAAAAACCAACGTCCATCATCCATCCTTCAAATTGCAGAAGAACTATTCTAAAAAACTCTGTAAAACCCGGATGGGTGGAACCTGATCTAAACTACATTTTATGATTGGATAAATTAGATATTTTACCAATGTTAAGTATTTAATATTAACCAATCATGATCCATCTAACTAACAACCCACTTATTTGTAAGTGCTGAAGTTACTTGTAATTTCAGCACCAGAGAGATTTGAATTTAACTTAGAAATTAGTTGGACTCTCCCGAGCACTTCAGCAGCCGCAATAAACCAGTATACCCTAGATCTATTGAGCCTAGCAGAGACTAGTTAAACAACCTGAGACTAGATAGTATAAGAGTAAGATTAGGATCGGTATTAGACTAAGAAGTTGCACGAATCTATCCGGCCGAAAATAAGATAGCGTGACGAGCAGACGGTGTACCCTATCCGAAATTACTCTATGAGTTAACCACATCGGTCATAACTCAGTATGGATAAATTATCGTATTGATTACAGATAAACCTAAACTGCACACGAAGCGTATAATTTGGTCAAAACTTGGCCCACACAAATTTTCTCTAAATAGCGTGTTTTCAGTGTTCTAGGAGAGCTCGCAAAAATTTTGAAATACTTAAAAAACCCCACTCTATCCCCCGTTAAAATTCTCATTCTTCTCATGTTTAATGGTTATTTTTAGTGAATTTGAAAATAAACATTTGCTAGAACAACTTACTACAAGTCCAAGGTCGATATCTGTCTTGTCAATGTTGTAGTGCATACTAGAAGCCTCGCCACTTAGCTGCAGCTCATAACAGGGACCCCCTCTGACGTCACAGAGGGCAATGACCTCTGATTTGACCCCCACGTGACCAAAGAAGGTAAAGCTAATGGTCTCGCTCTCTCCAGGGGCCAAGTGACCGAAAAGGGGATGAATGTCGTATAGCTAAACACAATTTGAAATATGCAAAATCGCGGACGCAATGCAAAAATATTTTTGCCAATCTTCGGTGGAAAAAAAAAGATTGCTAATGGCTTATAGTCCTTCACTTTATTAAGTCACACATCAGGTTTATCGACAGTTATTTGAAATTGAGCATTTAATTTTGTTCAATTGGAAGATGGCTAATCTCGTGCCGTTTTCGGAGAATGAAACCAGCAGAGATTCTTCCAGCACAGTAAACTTCATAATGCGATCGATTACGGTCAACTATTCAAAACAGAATATCCCATCTTTTTGCCATTGAAATGCGGAATAAATGTTCTTACTTAACTGAGCTTAATTTACCTCAACTACCACTTGGTAAAGATCCTGAGCTTGACTGAGCCTAAATTACCGGAACTATAAATAAACGTCAAAATGCCAATTAAACACGAAATATATTCAGACTAAAAAAAGGAGTAGGAAGGTATAATGTTTTTAATCACAAATTTCAGCAATTCTAACATTTTAAAAACTAACTTAATAATTTTAACATTTTAAAAATGTACCAGGTTTCTCTTTGAACAAATTGTAATAATATATGTAGCTCGTACCTTAAGGGGTATCATAGTAATTGCCTTATAAGCAAATAACACAAAACGTGTTTTTTTTCTTACGTCAGTGAGTTCGATTGGCGGCTTTTCTGAAGAATTTTTCACAGCTATGTTTTCATCAACTTCTTCAGATTCTTTCAACTCTTGTGGCTTCTCAGGCAGATCCTAAAACACACCAATGTCTTTTTAATTTTTGTGGTTTCACAAACTAAAACTGTCTGTTACAGCAAAAATTAACCATTTTCATTGAAATTTAGAAAAAAAGAGAAGATAACAATCTCTTGGCTATAATGATGCCAAGCTATTATGATTAATCAGCTTTAAAAAAAATTTCGAATTGAAAACTAATTATGTCACTGAAGCTTTCATGATACACTGAAATTTGTACCAATCGTCATAAATTAACACTCAAAATTATTAAAAACAATTTTTTTAAAATTCAAACTCAGAAACCAGACTTGCGCAAATACAAAACAATAAAATGTTAGACATAAAAAGAAAACTGAAAAGGAAATTAGTGGCCTGAAGTAGTTATTTAATTAGTTATTATTTTTGTATTTCTCTGGTTAGTCCTTCAACCTGTTTTTCATTATCTTCATCTTCATCCAACAAAAACTCTTCGTCTAAATCCACTCTAGCCAGTAACGACTGGAAGTTTTGAGTCTCTTGGATATCTGTCAAGTTAATATCGGCCGACTGGTCTTCGGCTACGTTATCTTCAATGTTTTCAATATGATTTATATTGCCGTCGTTCTCATCTTCGTTGACGTTTTCATTCAGATTTGGTTCAATTTCAAACTCGTGAACAGAAGTTATTTCCATATCCTGCTCGGCCTGTTTTTAAATTAGAAAACACTCAAGGATAATTATAAACAAAACTTCTGAAAAAATGGCTCTTATCCAAGTGTTCGAAAAAGTGGCGCTAAATTGGATCAAACGCAAAAAGTTCTCTGGGTAATGAAAAATTAGTATAGTTTGTTTTTCTAAAAATAACAATGCAAAATTTTTATCCATTTCTTTCTATAACCATCCTAAACCATTGGATATCCGACTAGAATCATTTTAAAAAATATTTAACATCTTGCAAAAAAAATATGACATTCACGCACCTGCGCCTGAGTTTCGATTTCTTGTTCTTTTGCAACTTCCGCCTCCTCGTTGCGTTCACTCAAATTTTCCTCGGGTTCCTGGTCAGCCTCCAAACTTTCGACAACCACCAATGCATTTTTGGCAGCTTCGTCTAGTTTGAAACTCCACTTGTAGTCTACATGCAGAGGTCCGCTATTGGCGATTTTGACCTTTCTTGTGACCTCTGTTTCATTCACGACACAGCCGAAGTGAACTATTTTGGTCTCGAAGTCGACATTGGGAAAGTAGACAACACTAGACAGCGCGATCAAGTCCTGAAGTTCAAAGAACCGAAAATAAAGATTAATTGCAAAAATCTAAATTAGAGAGGGATGAAAAAACATTATGGAAGGAAGCAGTTGCGAATTTAGGTGAGGGGAAATGGACCCCAGTATCGGAAAAAATAGATTTTCGACTCTCTGACCACCTAAAGTACCAATTCACGAAATTCAAGTTTAGCTGACCGACCCTAAATTGTGTCAAAAGGCGCCTCTGGGACCAATATATCACTACCCTTGAGTTGGAGCGCGCGCCATTTTTTCGGTCAAAACTTTGCAAAAAAAAAGACTAAAAACGGCATTTGGGCCTGTTTTTGTTTTAAGTTGCCAGCGGCGCAAAAAAAATTCTATAATACGATATTTATGGTATCTTGGGAGAGCTCTTCGAGTATACCCTAGACCCGCGCCTAGGAGTAAGAGCGAGCCAAAATAGCTAAGTGAGAGTATCCCAAAAAATCTTTGAAAATAATGACCTTGTTTGGATGCTGTGAGTAGGTGACCTGAATGTTCTCAGTCAGATATCTCGTGTGGGCACTGTCTGGCACATAGTTGGGATCAAACACCACCGTCACGTGACACTCCTCATCGACTTCCATGTTGAACGCCTGACAATAAAGCATCAAAAGAAACCCAACTTAGTCATATTCATTTCATTTTGCTAATGACTTTTTACTTTAATTAGTTGGATCACAATTTCCTTTTTCTGACTTATTTTACGTCGCAAAAAAACAAATAAATGGAAAAAGCACATTCAGACATAAATGAAAATTGCTCAGTTGCTCTTTCATACAATCAGAGCTGTTGGTATATTGATTGCTATTGTTTTATGATTTTACGCAAAAAAACTCGACGTCAATTCCATCAGAAGCTTTTGAGGATCTAGACAGTTAACTTTACCGATATAATTCAAAATTTTAATAAAATGGAGAATAAATTTTTTAATTGCTATAACAAATTTTACAAGACCACTAGTATCAGATTGCACCCCTGAAAAATCCGCTATACTTAAAAGTATCTGAAATATTTTATGGTTAATTTTCCCTCGCGTAATTCCAAGTGCTAAATAAAAACTTTCTGATCATTTTCATACCAATTAGTTTGCCTCAATTCAATATGGAATGATTTCTGAGCCAGGTTGATTCGCCGCTTGTGCTACACGCTAAAATTGAATTGAAACAAAGCGCACATTGATTATCCCAAATTGGCCAAACTTAGCATTTTCAAACCCCCATAACTTTGTGAAAAATTTGTATAAATAAAAAACCGTATAAATAAAATATCTTCTTGGGTTTGAGCTCAGGGAAACCTCATCCTTCAGCAAGTATAAAAAACATTCTGTCAAAAAAATGTTGGGTCAGAAATCGAAAATTGTTTGGAAAAAAAACAAGCCCAGCCGAGCGCAAATATTCCGCCATTTTTTCAAAATTCACGACCAAAATCAATCAAATGGATATAAATCCATGTAAAAAATTCTTTCAATCGACGAATATTTTAAGCAAATTTGAAGATACAGGCAATTTTCAGCAGATGCGTCAAACTTTTCGCATTTTTTAAATATGTTTTTCTGACTTTTGAGAAAAGATGGAGCAATTGAGCTCGTTGCTGTTTTTTACTAAACTAACTTCGGCTTTGTAATTGGTCACCTTTTAATGGAGTTTTTAGAGCCATCTGGAAATTATTAATACTCTGAGCAGCTGAAACTAAAAAAAAACTCACTGCGATAATTTTTTTGTAAAGTTAAGGTGCTTTGAAAATTGCCAAAATGGGATAATTGATGCACGATATTATTTATTCCATTATCAATCTAAATCGTCTCATGAATCGTTCCAAATTGACTTGGAGCAAGCTATTTGGACTCGAACTACTTTGGTAGACGTTAAACTCATTTATAATTTTTTGAAGTTTCATGAAACTATAAAATTTCAAGAGTGAATTTTAACCAAAACTGCACTAAAAAGTTTCAAGGGCAGTCTAAATTTTCAGAAACTTGCCCTGCTACGAGCTGTCAATCGAGTATGATTGAGGGGAAGTAATCCAAGTCCTAAATATATAATTATCAAAGCTTTAGAGCCAACATATGATAGTGGAATTATTCCGATTTGTAAAATTGAAAATTCGTCGAGAAGTAGGTTCACAAACACTGCGACAGCAGGCAATACGCTATGATCAGGGGACACCTAAATTAAACTTCTTTCAGTAGAGATGTCAAACGAATTTGAAACCTTACGTACGCGATGAGAGACAAATTTCGGCGCTCGGCATCTAACATTGTCTCGAAATTGCTCTTAAATAACAGGGAGTATTTCGAACTTTTGGCTGTCTATGGAGCGGATGCCATGGCTGTTCTCGCAAAAACACTGGAAAAAGGGAGTCCTGAAAAGAGCTAGTAATCATTGAAAGCATGTCGACAATTTGAAAGTGAAATGCTCGAGGAAGTATCGTCAACTCCATCAGCCAATTCTTGCAGTTTCGATCAGAAAAGTTGCGTATCATTTAATACAACGACGTTGGTTAGAATCCATGAGTTTCGGCTCCACCTTAGAAGCGCAACACAGAAGCGACGATAAAATGAGTACTGGAATTATCAAAAACTTTTAGAGACTTATTAAGTTTCGGCTCACTGAAGTAGCTCAAGTGAATTTCGGAAGATCAGATAGAAGAGAAAAAAAGATTGGCTTTGACCGGTATGATTCGAAATAAAAACGTTCTGATAAGTTTCATACCAACTAGTTTGCCTCAATTCAATTTGGAATGATTTCTGAGCCAGGTTGATTCGCCGCTTATGCTACACGCTAAAATTGAATTGAAACAAAGCGCGCATTGATTATCCCAAATTGGCCGAACTTAGCATTTTCAAACCCTCATAACTTTGTGAAAAATTTGTATAAATAAAAAAACGTATAAACAAAATATCTTCTTGGAATTGAGCTCAGGGAAACCTCATCCTTCAGCAAGTATAAAAAACATTCTGTCAAAAAAATGTTAGGTCAGAAATCGAAAATTGTTTGGAAAAAAAACAAGCCCAGCCGAGCGCAAATATTCCGCCATTTTTTCAAAATTCACGACCAAAATCAATCAAATGGATATAAATCCATGCAAAAAATTCTTTCAATCGACGAATATCTTAAGAAAATTTGAAGATACAGGCAATTTTCAGCAGGTGCGTCAAAATTTTTGCATTTTTTAAATATGTTTTTCTGACTTTTGAGAAAAGATGGAGCAATTGAGCTCGCTGCGGTTTTTTACTAGACTAAATTCGGCTTTGTAATTGGTCACCTTTTAATGGAGTTTTTAGAGCCATCTGGAAATTATTAATACTCTGAGCAGCTGAAACTAAAAAAAAACTCACTGCGATAATTTTTTTGTAAAGTTAAGGTGCTTTGAAAATTGCCAAAATGGGATAATTGATGCACGATATTATTTATTCCACTATCAATCTAAATCCTCTCATGAATCGTTCCAAACTGACTTGGAGCAAGCTATTTGGACTCGAACTACTTTGGTAGACGTTAAACTCATTTATAATTTTTTGAAGTTTCATGAAACTATAAAATTTCAAGAGTGAATTTTAACCAAAACTGCACTAAAAAGTTTCAAGGGCAGTCTAAATTTTCAGAAACTTGCCCTGCTACGAGCTGTCAATCGAGTATGATTGAGGGGAAGTAATCCAAGTCCTAAATATATAATTATCAAAGCTTTAGAGCCAACATATGATAGTGGAATTATTCCGATTTGTAAAATTGAAAATTCGTCGAGAAGTAGGTTCACAAACACTGCGACAGCAGGCAATACGCTATGATCAGGGGACACCTAAATTAAACTTCTTTCAGTAGAGATGTCAAACGAATTTGAAACCTTAAGTACGCGATGAGAGACAAATTTCGGCGCTCGGCAACTAACATTGTCTCGAAATTGCTGTAAAATAACAGGGAGTATTTCGACCTGAAAAGAGTTAGTAATCATTGAAAGCATGTCGACAATTTGAAAGTGAAATGCTCGAGGAAGTATCGTCAACTCCATCAGCCAATTCTTGTAGTTTCGATCAGAAAAGTTGCGTATCATTTAATACAACGACGTTGGTTAGAATCCATGAGTTTCGGCTCCGCCTTAGAAGCGCATCACAGAAGCGACGATAAAATGAGTACTGGAATTATCAAAAACTTTTAGAGACTTATTAAGTTTCGGCTCACTGAAGTAGCTCCCATGAATTGCGGAAGATCAGATGGAAGAGAAAAAAAGATTGACTTTGACCGGTATGATTCTAGGTGCTGAGTCCAACTATGACTGAAATTATTGAGAACTCCTATATCGATCGATTGTACTTTCAGTTTCAGAGGTGGATTTTATGGGGGAATTCTCAAAAGTAGATTGTTCAAATGGGCAAAATTTTTTGAAAAAGATTGGAGCTGACATTTATCTAGGTTGCACGGTAGCAATTTTGTTGTACACAAGTTGAAAAGTGGTGAGATCCCATTGGGGATATGGAAAAACCGTAAGTTGTCGTTTTCATAACAATTTGGAATAATTAGCTAATACAAATGGTTCGCTGATCGTTAGTCAAATCTAGAGCGCGAATCAGAAAATCAGGGGCTCAAGATACGAACTTCAACAAAACTCCCAACAAAATTAGGCATCAGTTGCTGTTCAACAAGCTCAATAGGAATAGCCGCTGTGAAGAAAAACAAAAATTGTTGATATTGTGCCAAACCGACCTTTTTTATAATAGGTTTTTCAAGGAATTTAGGAATAATAGGAATTTTTTTTGTAAGAGATAACGCAAATTCGAAAATCTCAGTCAAAGTAAGCGGTGTCACTTTGACTGAGATTTTCGAATTTGCGTTATCTATTATAAAAAAAAAATCCTATTATTCCTAAATTCCTTGAAAAACCTATTATAAAAAAGGTCGGTTTGGCACAATATCAACAATTTTTTGTTTTTCTTCACAGCGGCTATTGCTTTTGAGCTTGTTGAACAGCAACTGATGCCTAATTTTGTTGGGAGTTTTGTTGAAGTTCAACCCTATTGAGGCATTTGGTTTCGAGTGATTGGAGGAGTCGGTAGTTATAAGCCAAATTTTCTGCAGTGAGTAGGGTCGGGGCAAAAAACTTAATTGCTTCCCTCCCTTGAAGAGACCACCCTTTTTTGCCTTGGATAACAGAAATAGAAATAACCTGCTTTCATTGAGAGTAGCTCTGGATCAGTGTAATGATAACTCGTGTCCGATAAAGATTTGATTCGTAATTGTTTAAATTGTTTGGCCGATGATTTGGTGTTATAATTAATGGGGGGATACGAACAAGACTCCGGGTTTATGGCGATGATTGTTTCGAATGCCCTTTAAGTCGATAAAAAGTCAAAATGGCTAGGTCAAGTCACAATTAGTTTGAATAAAAACCACTGAAGCATAAATACTCTATTACTTTCTTCAAAAATCTGAACAATGATCAATCGGAATATAGGAATAATCTAATTGAGAAAAGAGAAAACAGGAGTCATCAAAGCTAGCCTTAAAAAACAGAAACTGAAAACACGCCATTTAAAAATTTTGTTTTGATAAACTTTTTTTAATAAACTTTTTTTGAATGGCTTATTTCAAATAGACTTCGCATGTAAAGCAAATTTTCAGACACCGTTTTAGGAGTCGCTCCTTTATTCAAAATTATATACGACCTTTTATCCACGAGGGAAAGGACTAACATACGAGCTGTACAGCTCATAACGACGAACCGGTTTTTTTTCAGGACTGAGTAATGTTGCCTCACGCTCAAGCAACAATCACGGATCATGGTGGGCCTCGAACATCCAACCTTTCGATTGAGAGTCGGAGACATAACCACATCACCACCAGTCTTCACATACAATCAGAAATTTGGTCTTTATTTACACTTCTTTGGTGTTGTAATTAATTTCTTCTGATTGATTTTTTTTGTAACTCGACATAAATGTATCTTACCATGAATGTTGTGAGTGTCTGGTTGTTATCTGCTATGAAGTAGAATGCCTGCTGCTGCTGACCGTCAGAGGTCAAAGACGATGAGAGGATGTTGAAGTTAGCAGTGACTGGAAGGGACGAGGTGTTCACAAACGACAGCTGCTGATATTGAAGATCCAAAATATCCGATGGACTCTAAACGCCACAAGCAATCCAGTGCGACCAAAAACTGCAACCAAAAGATGTCTGAAAAGGCCATAATTCCCTCCAATCCTTGGAATAAAAAAATATACGGATGGCTGGAATGACAAAAAACTATAACACTACGCTCGCTAGCTAGCTTGTGTAAATATAGAAAGAACGGAAAAATAAGCAAATAAAAACAGCATAAGATTACGAAATTGAATTTCAATTTTCTACCACTTTCTCGGGTTAGAAGCGATCGAATTTTTTAAATCAAACCTGGCCTGTGATTTCGTTGAGACCTAACACTGAAATGTCGATAGCAAGAGCTTTGAAAAAATAGTCCCATAAACCGGGATATTATGAGGTGAAAATGAGGTGAGGTGAAAAAACTGAGAATGTCCATAAATTTGCCAACTTTGGGGTCTATTTTAGTAAGTAAAATCTAAATACCTTTTGAATCTCGAAGTGTAACTTCATGGCGGAGAAATTGACAACTGGATTGATGAATGAGCACTTGATTTTGGACTTGAGGACTGTCTCTTTGCCAGCCAGTTTACCTATGATTGAGGTGGCAATCAGCTCCTCGCACACAACACGCTCTCTGCAAAAGTGAACTTTACATAGCTTAAGATTTGCTTCATCTCTAGAACGATCTAGGATTAACACTCATCGCCCCATTATATACGTTAGTGACATATTTCATCCTTCACCCATTTCGCCCCTAATATGTCACTCACAAAATCCCGTAACGAATGTGAGGAAAAAAGTGTGAGGGGAGAAAAATGCCACATTCACCACAGATTACTTCAAAAATATCGCGATAAAATCGTTTTTTAAACGAAAGTTTCAAAATCGAAGCTTTCAAAAGCTTAACTAAACCAATTTGAAGCTCATGACGTAAAATTTAAAAAAAAATTGAAAATTTCTTTCATTTTTCTTCAGATCTTTTAAACAGAAAATATTTAGAATCACTCAAGATTCGAGGAAACGCACGTCTGTGAGAATGCGATCACTTTGATAGTCTCGGATTTGTTGGGTTCTAATGCTAATCGGTTAGGCACAACCCTGAAGCACGAATTGTCATCCGAGTCTTTTGAAGATCCTCCCTAAAAGAAACAAAAGTCTCTTGTTACTCTTAATTAAAATATTAAGGTTTTAAATTAGGTTTTTAAGATTGAAATTTGAGGGATTCCAACTGTTTTAATGTTTCTATAGCTTGATTTGTCAAAATCACTGATTTAAGATGAAATGCGTTTGAAAATGTTCCTAAAATGTGAATTCATGCTATAACCATAAATGGACCTAACTAAACAGTCTTCTTTGAGAACCAAATTGGTTTTTCATTTAATATTCACATTTGAACCTGAAGTAACTTCAATTTTAATGATTGCCAAATGGAGATGAAAGTGATCAAAAATAGAACTCCATTTCAAAGTGCATAAAAGATTATGCTCTGATGAAGTGAATGTGTTCATGACGACGATGATTAAGCATAACTTTTAAACCTTTCTGAAGAAGTGAATATGTTGATGACGATGACGATGAAGCATAACTTTTAAACCTTTCTGAAGAACTGAATATGTCGCTGACGATGACGAAGCATAATTTTTAAACCTTTCTGTAGAAGTGAATATGTTGATGACGATGACGATGAAGCATAACTTTTAAGCCTTTCCGAAGAAGTGAATATGTCGATGACGATGACGACGATGATTAAGCATAACTTTTATACCTTGGTAGATGCCGTCTTCTTCCCAGATGACCCCTCCACCATAAAGTGCACCCGCTGCAGTCTCCTTCCCTGATTAGTCACCACCACATCCCTGCATGACTCATGCTGGCTGAACTGGGGTCCAAAGTCCAGACAAGGTTCCATAGGAGGATCAGTTACTATTGTGGGGCCAAAACCAGTGGCTGTCAGAACAACTGTTTGAGTTGCCGATTCCTCAAAGCCGACTAGTAAATTGTCCGAAAACCTACATGAACAAAGTCAAATCTGAACCCTTTTGACAAACAACAGTTTTAGCAGAATAGTTTAATTAGCAGGACAACTCTTTACAGCCGGTTATATTGTCGAAAAAATCTCAAAGTTCAAAAAATTGAGTTAAAAATTGTAAGAGAATCAATTTTAGCCATTCAAAAAACTAACTTTGGATGTATAACTCAAAACATAGACCGTGAACTTACTGGAAAATGTCGTTTGGTTTGGCATAAACAGCAACTGAAGTAGTTTCTCCAGGTTCAATCACACCACTGACAGGATCCGTTGAGAAGACACTGTCGGGTCGTCTCTGAAAAAAAACTTCGTCTAGTGTGTTTTACTTACTTCTTATTATAAAGTTAAAAATAAAAAACTCAATTGAGCCTCAAACATTGACCGTTTTTAAAAATGAGGCAAGGATGAAACTTTCAAGTTTCAAATTTTATCCAATTCAATCCGTACTTCGAAGATAAAATTTTGATAAGACTTTTATTAAGTTAAGTAGTAACTCACCATTCGACACTTGAACTTGGCCGAGATGAGTGAATCATTCTTGAGGGAGATGCTCTTCATGTGTCTCTCCAGTACCCTCACTTTTCCCCACTCCAGACTAGTGGGCTCGACCAGAGTCACTGCACCCTCGCCCTCACACTGCACTATGAACTGCTGCAAACGACACATCGGTGGTGGCATATAAATCAGACGAAAATACGTAATCTATACAATATTTAATTGGCATTTCACTTGACACGTTTAAAAAGTCCTTATGTTAATATGTTTAATAAAATGACAAAATTTTGCAGTGTTTCATATGTTTTTATTGAATTCAACAATTTAAATTCCCAAGTTCATCTATTATTTTAATTATAAATCTGTTGAAGCGTGAATGCTTTAACTCTTCATTTTTTCCCTTATGTCGCAATGCATACATTTAGCGTTTCGTTTCAGTGTTTGTTTGACACAATTAACATTCTCAATCCTATGGTGGCGTGGAGTACAATAAGGGGTTGCAAATCTGGCCTCCAGATATAACTGCTAAAAATTTTTCGAGATGTAGCGTTTTTGAAGATTTTTTTTTTTGAAAAAATTTAGATTTAAAAAAAAACGTACAAAACTTTGAAGTCTCAACCCTATAGCTGAGTGCTCTCACGGTACTTTATGGGGTTCCATTTCTGCCCTTCATATACGAGTGCTAAAAATATTTTAATTTTCGAGTTATGCCGTTTTTTTTTTATAGTTTAACAACTTTTTTTTTCCATAAGGATCTAAATTTGAAAAACTAACAGAACATGAAATTCTCAAATTTATGGTAAACACTTTCAAAAATACACTCAGGGGTTGTAAATAGGGCCTCAAATAATGACCGATCAAAATTTTTTTAAAATGAGATTTGGCGGATTTTATGTTATTTAAATTTTTTACAAAAAAAAACACAGATAAAAGACCATTTTTAACCATGTTTTGTGGTGCTGTCAAGGAACTCCTAAAGGTTACAAGTTTGGCTGCTCACTGAAATTCTCAATTTAAATGTCTGAGATTATAACATTTCAGTTATGTTTTTAAATTTTTAGTAAGTTAAAAAACTTTTATCAATTTATCAATAAAAATTTAATTATTGTAAAATCTTTTGAACTTTATTAAAAGCATAAAAGAAGCATAAGTATGCTGTCGGTTCTTAGGGTCTTTCTCAGTTTAAAGTTTTACAAATTTTGTAAAACTCGGTAGTTTTGGAGATATGGCAATTTGGGTGATAAAATAAACATTTCAGGAAGCTCTTTTCACGTTCAACATTCTATTTGAAGCACTATAGGTGCGAGTCACGCGTTAGCTGCTATATAATAGTTATGTAACAATTGTGTAGCAGTTTCGAAAGTCATACAAATTTCATACAAATGACGTAATTTTTCGGCTGGTTTTCATCATCTGCGCATTATCGGTTAGTTTATACTGCAGTTTGTTTGTTTGTTTGTTTATCCTTCCGAAATGCAGACCAGAATTTATCAAAAAGAGCATTGCCTACCAAGGAGCTGTTATTTGGAACTCACTGCCTGTTCCCTTAACAGATATTATTGATTTTACGCTGTTTAAACGAACCCTGAAAACTGTTTTATTCTGTGAGGCTTTGTGAGCCTTCTACCACTCTTGTGTTCAAGAAAGAGTGGTAAAGTCAATCATCATCATCATCATCAAAAAATCATTATATTCGTTGTCATGTGATGAAAAGGATAGTTCTCGTACACAAAATCAGATATCACAAATAAACGTTGAGTCTTATGTTGAAAAAGTTTCAGACGTGTTTCCAGCGGCTTTCAAAAACGTTTCAAAAGCTTTCTGGGTGCAGAAAAGGTATGAACCCAGGTGTCTCCTTCCAAAATTGAAAAAAAAACTCCACGGACAAATATAGAAATTTTTTTTTAGAAAAATGCCAAATAACTGTGGTTGTAAACTGTTCGATAAAGTGCAAAGAAAACATTAACACAAAGTGAAGGATACCAAGCACGTCAATAAGGCATATCTGGTTTTAATTACCATTTAGACTTTTGACAACACTCTCATGAGAATCATCCATACCATTGATAGCTCAAATAACGATCCATTTCTGCCTAAATTATGTTTAAACTACTTTCAAAAAAAGTTAGGGTCAAATTGATTAAGAGACAACAACAGCAAGCAAAAACACTCGGAAACTTGTTGAGATTAAACACTGAGTCTCAAACAATTCAGATATGGTTTTCAGCTGATGTGTCATTTGGAGACTTACGAGTGTGATGTTTGGGGATCCGAAGACGGAAAACATGACAGGCAGACTGTGTTGTCCCTTCTCACACATCTGCAACACCATCTCCAAGTCCACACTACTGTTGCCCTCGATCACGCCCTACAACACACGAAACCTTTTCACACCTACACGGATTGATGCGACGTAATCTCAATGGGCGAAAATTTAGTTTTACCAGCCAATCAGAATTTAGTTTCTAAAAAATGCAGAAGAGAAGTAAGAAATTCAAACAGAATTTCGAACAGTAATAATGTTCGTGATTGCTTGAACATGTTCTGTAACGAGTAGCCCACATTCTTGTTAAACTTGAACGAAATTATTCTAGGCTGTTTTTCTCGCAATTGAGAATCTTTTCAGAAGTTCATGAACACTTTTTCATCTATCTGTTAGCAATGTTCATACTATCATCGAAAAAAAACAGTAGATTTTTTGTTCGAACATCAAACTCTTATTGACTTAAATTTCACTGATTTTTTATGCCTCAATTTCACTGATTTTTCAGCACAGAAAGAAATATCAAGAAACATATCGGTTAAAATGCATTCTCTTGACATCAGTTGTGCCTGATTCAGTATATCCTATCTCAAACTAGTGTCATTCAATTTGTATACATCACTTCAAGGGTGAACATTTTGACGTCAAAAAACAGCGAAGTCAAACAAATCAGAAACAAAACTGTTAAAAATAAATCTGAAAAAACGTCAAGTTGATTTCTTATCGTGAAAAACTATTCAGATTAAAAGTTCAAGCTGATTAATGTGCTTATTTATTATGCAATTAGCAAAAATAGAAAAAAAGCCTGACTCGGAAGCCAAACAAAACATGACGCAAGACAAATCTTAGATATTTTAATCATTTTAAGCATTGATTTGCATTGACTAAAAAATTGCAATTTTTTGATTCAACCGATCAAAGAAGATAATACTTTCTTCACATTTATGTCGTTTTATCTGCTTTTACTTTTAACACACAAGATGAAATGATGACACATCGTTCATGAAATTAATAAAAGTATCCTACACGAAGAAAAAAGAGCATCTCTTGAAGAGAAAATCTAGAGTATTTAAAATCTGGTGACAAAAACCTACCCTACGCCATTATTCTTTCCAAACACTTCGTTTGACTGGAAGAAATAATAATTGATAAAAAGAAGAAAACTTTTATTGTAACTGCGCTCAATTCAAAATTGAAAAAAAACTAAGAAAAAAAGTCAGAGATAAGCCAATTGAATTCAATCTGGAAACAGCATAAATCACAGAATTCATCAATTTTAACGTATAAATGTTTTTCAACAAAATCGTTTCATTCACGGCTTGAACGGGTTGAAATTAGCATCTTTTTCGTGATACGCGGTAAATAATATGCAGACGGCAATAATCTGCTAGACAATGTCATTTTTCCATGTTTTTTTTATTGGTTTTAGTCATATAAACTTGTATTTCCGGGCAAAAAAAAATATGTTTTTTTAGTGACTCGAACTTAGGCCGAACCGTTCTGCTTATTTTTAGACTTTGTTCTAAACCACTCGGGCAAGGGTCTTAGTCATTAATGTAGGTTACTCGGTTTATGCTGCGTGGCAACACCTATTACATCCAAATTTCTGAATTATATTATATAAAGTATCTAGAAAACTAAAGCAAAAACAAATTCATTTAACAATCACTAGGGGGGGCATTTGAATTTTATATCTTATACGATACGAAAAATACTGAAAGCGATAGAAAAGCTGCAAAATGAGACCGTAGAAACGAATCTGATTTTCAAAAAAGATGTAAAAACATGCTTTACAAAAAATAATGAAACTATAAAAAAAACCTACAGAAAAAAACTAAGAAAAGAAACTGGAATTCTATCAGACGAGAAAATGCAAACAATTTTAAATCATTTTTCCAGTTCTTCTGAAAATTGGTAGAGAAAAATATTAGCTAGAATGTTAGGAAAATTATATTCATTAAAAAACTAGATTATATAGCACAAAGACAACAGTTCTAGATAGAGCAGTAGGAAAATTGAAAAAATCCAGGAACAGTTTTGATATTCAAAACTCATAAGTCAAAAAGATATCTGAGAACTTCATTTGAAACAATCAACCCAGACGGAGGAATCATTTGGGGAAAAATAAAAAATCAGATCTTTTTCGCAAAGTTTTATTTGATTCTCAAAAAATGGATAAAAATTACTCAAAAAGCGTAGAGAAAAGAAACAATCCGGAAAATACCAAGATTAAAAATTTTAAAAAAATTGAAATTTTTTGCAACTCAAATGGCAGCACCATTAGATGAACACATACATATTATTTTCAAATATAGTTTTGTATAATTACTCAACATGAAAAGTCCACGCTGTGGCAACCAGGCCAACCAAAAACAAGCACATAAGGCAAGTTGTGGACGAAATGAAAAAAGAGCAAAAACTTTGGATGCAAGTTTGAAAAATGCAAAAACAAGGCAAAATATTGGGTTAAAACAATTCATTCAAACAACGTAGACAAAACAAACAAGACTGCTCGTATAAGGGCGAAGCCCTAAATGTTCCGACTGCCTTTTAAGGTTTATGGAGCAGTAATAATATTTAAAAATAAAATAAAATAAAACGAAAAGTTTTTTTTCTAAAATTTGAAAATTTTTCTATGAAAATCATCCCCCCACACGCCATATAAAAAACAAAAGGATAAATTTCGCTTCTTGTAACAAATCAATTATGGCAAAAAAGCTTCTTTCAACCAATTTGGAACAATTTCTAAGAAGGATTAAATCTCCGGTTACGCGTTAATAGCGCGACATATATCGCGCGTTAATTGTCCCAATTTAGCCAAAATGGCAATCTTTAAACCCCCATAACTCTACAAAAAATAATCACAGGTGAAATATCTTTTCAAATTCTTTCAAGCAATAAGCTTCTTTTAACCAATTTGGAACGATTTCTAAGACGGATTAAATCTCCGGTTACGCGTTAATTGCGCGACATATATCGCACGTTATTTGTCCCAAATTGCCCAAAATGGCAATCTTTAAACCCCCGAAAAAGTCAAATATTAAGAAGTCTGGTTAAGAAAAGCTGGTTAAAAAGTAGAAATTTGTCTGAAGAAAAAAACCACCCGAGCACAAATATTCCATTGCCTTCGTTACGAAAAATAAAACTTAATTCGCAGCTCCATTAGATGAAAACATCCAAATGACTTTCAAATGTATTTTAAAAGCTTTTGCAAAAAATAATAAGAATAAAGAATGACTGAAAAATCCATGCTGTGTTAAACAAGCTGACAAAAAAGCACCCAACGCAAGTAAATTTGTAAAAATCTAAGGTCCTGCCAGATTTCAAGCACTTTTGATTGTTTTTTTTACAGCATGGAAGTAACCTCTGTGTTAAATATGCAAAAATAGACGATCAAATTGAATTGAGTTTAAATCAAGCAATCAAATGATTCGGTGATTTTGGTAAACAAATCTTTTACAGAAAAAACATCCATGTAATATTTTAATATTCTGGATTCTTTTTTGATTACATCCTCAAAAATCTGTGAAAAAGCTCTCATGCAGCGACGAAATTTTTATTCGAATTATTTAATGAAGGTAAACGAGCAAAGTACTAACCCACGACTTGGGCGCGTCGTACATGATTGTATGCTTGGATGCCCTGTCTTGAGGCACCAGTTCGTATCTGGCGGGAATGGCGGAAGGGTTGGAGAGAGTGACTGTCTGCTGATAGGGATACCTCAGGAAGCACCTTCCCATGTCCACAAAAGCACTGCAACAAACAGAAATCTCGTTAAGCCGAATTCAGAATAGCACAAAAATGAGCGAAAATGATAGAAATTAGCTACTTATTCTGCAGGCGCGCATTAGCAACTTTTTTGCTGGCAAGATTTTACCATTCTGTAACTCGAGATAAGCTTAGATACGCCCCTGCTCATTGGAAAAACGTTACGTAGCGCGCGCAAATTAGGTTGCAAAAACATTATTGGTTCCCTAATTCAATATTTTCGAATTTTCTATCCATCCGTGAAACTGTTTTGTACGTTCATCGAAAAAATCAAAGGGAAGCCACTCAACTTACGCCATCAAAACTTAATTAAATTTGGATCTTGCATCTAAAAATATATTATCGAAATAGAAAATAGATTATCGATATCTTTTCCTGTAGATAAAAGATTATCATAATAATTTTAAATCATCTTGTTCTTAAAAAAGATTATCACAGCAGCTTATCGGCAAATGAAAGCTTATCGGCAAATGAAAATTATGATGATTCCATGCAAATTATTCAGTGGTTGAGCAAAAGTAGGTTCGTCTGACTTCTGATAGTCATCGCAAAGGAAATTAAGATGCTACAAAACGTCTTAAACGGATATACGTCAATCGTTTCCGTATCTTCTCTGATAGACACAAATTTGCTAGACCCAAATATCACACTAGAATAACTTCAAATAAATTTCGAAACATGAAAATAGACTATTTCAGATATCAAACAATTTTTTACAGTCTTGCATGCGTTAGTTTTTAAAACCGTTTCACAACTAAGCGTCAACCAGTAATTTGATTTAATTTTCGCTTTGTTAGTACTTTTGTAACAATTATTTTAAAAGGCCAAAAACGAAACTTTTTTCTCTTCTGAAGATAGTTTTAAGCTTTTCAAATTATGGTAATCAACGTTCATTTAAGAAAAAAAAACTGTTTTCTATTTTTTCGATTGTTTGATCAGTTTTCCAACAAAATCTTAATAATTGGCCTCAGCGCAAAAGGAGCAATCACGGCTTCTCCCTGATATACTAGCAATCCTAATAAAAATAAGATCCAGTGAAAAAATTCATAAAATTAAAGTGTTCATCATTGTTCTGAATATTTGAAAAAATTGAACATTTTTACAAATCAAGGGAGTGAACAAAATTAAAAAATTTATTTAAAATTGAAAAAAGCACAGTGGTCATAATCAAAGAAGCTGTATAAAAAAGTTCCCTGTTAAGAGCTGAACATCTCGTACCTTGATCCTTTCGGTAAAGCGACGAATATAACTTTTACACAAAGAGGCGAAGCAGAGCTTCGCACCACTTGCGATACAACACAAACATACAAAACATAAGTCGAAAAAACTTTCAAATGTTGAAAAAAAACTAGGTGAACCAAAATTTCGTATGTCTGGATTAAAAAGAACACGAGGCCCAGCTAAAGCTGGTGGTATGAGTTTGATATTGAAAAAATTAGCTATACTGATGCGGCACGAAAAAAGTGATTTCAAAAATTTGATTTTACCCAAAACTTTAGTCGTTTTTCTTCTAAAATAAGTGAGAAGAGAATTTTTTTAGACAATCAATTTTCCAAACATTTCTCTTGCAAAAATTAAGGAGCTGCCGCTTCTTCAGGAGCCATTATCACGACCAATTCTTTCAGTTAAACTTTTCATCTCAGATTTGATTGTACCGATTTTAAGAAAACTCAAAAACTTTGTAAAACACTGTCAAAAGTTCTAGAAAGAATCAAAAAAGATTTATGCTGAAGAGATTCACGCAACCTGTAATTTTGATTGAACCCAAAATCTCTAATTTGGGAAGGTAGTTTCCGAGAAAAGTCAAAAACTTGACAAAAAAGTTGGGCGTGGCCGCTCATGCAGTGAGCTTTTCGAAACCGTTCTATTCATTGAAATCAAAAACTCATATTTGAGAGGGGTAATTTTCAAAAAATAATAAAATAAAAATATGGGTCAATAATTCCCCCACAGACTTTTTCGAAGGCTGTAGACAGAAGGGTCAACTAAAAAAAAAGATTCTACGGGAGTATACAGGCACGCGAGGTAGTAGGCTGACGTTCAATTCATACCCCTTTTTTGAAAATTAGTAGAAGTTTCTGACAAAAACTAAAATTTTTCCAATGAATTTGGAAATAGTTTTCCATAATGAAAAAAAGTTCAACAAATCGATTGGTAAATGTACAACCAACATAAAAAATACGGAGAGGAGTGTTCAAGTTGTGTTTCCCTTGGAACAACCCAAAATTAGGTCATTAAGCCGATAAAAAATAGGCCGAAATAATTTGAGCCGAAGAAATTTTTTTCAAGTTAGCGAAACAAAAAAAACAAAGAAGGAAATACGAAGTCAAAAGTAAGCAAACAATTTGGACCGAGGAAATTGTTTTAAGAGGAAATAATTTTTTGAGAGGAAATAATTTGGGCCGAGCAAATTGTTTTAAGAGATAATAATTTTTTGAGAGAAAATAATTTGGGCCGACCAAATTTTTTTCAAAAATAATTTGGGCCGAGAAAATTTTTTATGCAAAACAAAAAACAAAGAAGGAAAAACGAAGTCAAAGAAAGCAAAATTACCAGCTGTAGGAACAATTCAAACACTAAAAGCAACATTAAAGAAAAGACCAATGAGCGCAGCAAAAAAAATCCAAGATGTGACAAATAACAGACAACAGATAAGCAGACAAATTTTATTTGAAACAAAATATTTCCCGTTCGAAAAAAAAACAGTTCCTGGTCAGATTCTAACACAGGACCTTTGCCGTGCCAGGAATATTCGTTACCTCCAGGCTAAGCTAGCCGGGAATGCACAGAAGTTTGAATTCATTATGAGCCAAGATACAAGTGATTCTGTTAAACAAGTTGATAACCCGAAAAAGCCCATAATCCAGTTTGAAAATACTTGCTATTCGCAAGCGTAAAAAAGAATATTTGCTGTGTTCCCGGAGTTAAAAATGAGTGTGGTCAAGCTAAAAATATTGTTGACAAAATCTTCTACATGTTTCTTCGCGAGAAATTCCAAGATCAGTTCCATGGCAAAGTGTTTTATATCACTCTGACTCATCTGAAGATTATTTGCTGTATCTAATTTTGCGTGAAAAAAGACCAGAATTTTGAAGAACTCGTTCCCGCAATTTGTTGTCGAAATAACAAACTTACGTTTCAAACTTCAAATCGGGTACAACGACCCTTGCCGAAAGTGGAAGCGCCATCTGACAACCCTCGATATCCTTCAAATACACCAGAACCTCCCGCTCCATTTTCCCCAAGGTATTCGGCAACAGTCCGAACGCAATCTTCGTGGACGACTGAGCGGGAACCAGGCCCGAGCTTGGTGCAATACGGAACTCCTGGGGACGTCTAGTGTCGGGCCGCGAATGGAGAAGGAAGTCGGCGTTCTCCTCGGTTCCAGAGACACCAGGGTAGTCACCGTCTTCGGACATCTCAAGTTGGAAATTGAGGGGGACTAAAGACGTGTTGACCAGATCAACTTCTACTGTAGTCAGGAAACCTACAAATAAGATAAAATGTTCAATAATTTTTGATCAGGCTGATTTAGTTTATAAAACAACCAAAAGCATCATTACTCGCGATACAACCAAAACTCTAATAATCGTCCAAGGTTTTTTTATGCAACTTACGCAACAAAATAATTTATAAATCAAATATTAGTTTCAAATTCAAATCAATTGAGACAAAAATGAAAGCTACCATTGAGTGATACAATTACATGTGGGTAGGAAACTTCTGGATTGTAATATGGCCTTACCAAATGGTACATGACCCAACTTCAATCTGTTCACACTGAAGTTGAAAGTCGGTCCAATCACTTGTCCCCTGATTGCAATCTTGGGTGCAGTGTCTCGCATCCCGTCCACTTTGAAGTCAAACACTTCGTCTATGGGTCCGATCAGATTCGCGTCCAGGGATACTTTGATGGCCTGCAATCAGATAAAGTCAGCATAAATCTCGTCTATTAATGTAATACTGGCATTGGATGAAATTGCAACTACTACCTTGTAATATTACATTGTATAGTAAGCAGTCATCAGCGGATAATTCTTGGTTTTTTGTTTTGATGCCACAAATAGTTGATGTTTCTGAATGATTTTAAAATACATTTAAAATCTCATTATTAAACTATTATAATTTTTATCATCAGCAACTGAAATATTGATTGACAGTTTGATAAAAATTAGGTAATTTTACTGATCCCCACCTGGTAGCCCCCCGGGGGGACGAATGCCTCCAATTGGTCGAAAGAGAAGCAGGAACTAAGGGGGGTGTTGGTGTGTCTAGGCACTATGGTGTAGATGGCATCTATGTCTCCTTTGTTCCACAAAATCACCTGAGAAAAAAAAACTTTTATTTCAATTGAAAATCTAAAAGGACGCATTGCATTGTTAACCCTAACCATGAAAAACTTGCTTAATTATTTGTTCCATTAGTTCGTTCGGAGATATCAATGCATAAAAATTGCAACTGAATTTCGCAATCAGTTCATGCAAAGAAACGAAATATTTAGTGAAAACTTCGCATAGTTTCAATAGAATTCCAAATTTAAACAATGCTTAACAGAAAGATTTAAAAACTCAATAAATTATTGGTGAAATGTTTCAATTATAACATATAAAATAAGTAGGTTGAATAAATCGTGCTCACCTCGTAGAAGTGTTTTGATCCCAAGAATATATTGCCCACATTGAGTGTCTCAAAGGACAGGTCAATCTGGGGTCCAACCCCTGTCCCGTGCAGTCTCAGAGGCAGTCGCTTCTCCCTCCCAGTCACCTCCAGGTACATCTGCACATCGTAGTTCTCCACCTCCCTCGGTTTGAACATCACCTCACAGTCTAAAGTGGTGTTGGGCCACACTTCTCCCTCCTGAAAATTGAAATTTTATTCAGACCAATTTTTGTCTTTCTTCCAGTTTTCCAACCCCCCACCCCTTGTCTATTAACAACATAAAGTTGTTTGAAAAATGTTGCCTCAAAGACGTAGCCCCCCCCCAAAAGTTCTTGTGAGAATCATTCTAACGAAGGTTGCAATTTTTTTCCCAAAAAACGACAATGAAAACTTTTTTAAAAAATTGTCAAAAATATTTTGAGGCTTTTTTCTGTAATATGGCCCAAAATTACCAAGTTAATAATTGAGCTTCTCTTTTTTTAAGGACAATCTAGATTTCATTTCGCAAAAATTAATTTCAACCAATGATCTATTTTTCCAAAGCAGTTTGGGCCGTATAACAGAAAACACCCTACTTTGAATGTGTTTCTAAAACGTAAATATGATTTAAAATTAATCATTTTTTTCTAAATTCCATGATCCCAAAACTCTCAAATTGGGAATATAATATATGCATTTCGAACAAAATTTTCAAAAAATGATTTTTTTATCAATTAGTTTCTTTAGTTAAAAATGTTTAGCGGTTTAAAATATTTTAGAGTCAGTTAAAAAATAGATTTGATCAATCATGCTATATCGCTTCAAACTTGCTTTATGTGCGGCTTAGAGATCTCAAAGTTATCTTTGCAAGATGCTCTTGGTATGTTCTCTGCACTCTTTGTCTAATATTAACCCAATTTGAGAAAAAAAACGCGTTTAAAGTTTTCAATGTTGTTCGTTGTGTCCGGTTAATTTGAATCAGGACTGTATTTGACTAAGGCTGAACTGCCACAAAGCAGGAGAACATTTTATAAAAGCTTCAAATTACGTCCATTTTAAGCATCGTTGGTGTAGTGGTAGCATAGCAGCCTTCCAAGCTGTTGACATGGGTTCGATTCCCGTACGATGCATGTCATTTTTTATGGTGATTTTTATCAAAATAGAAATTTCATTGATGACGTCTGGTTTACATTTTCGGCTGGTTTACATCTGAAAGCGTCAATTGATGCTTCTCAGATTTACTTTCGTTTTAAATATAGCAAACAGATTTAGAGTATGACACAGAATATTCAACCCGGGGGGGGGGGGGGGGGGGGCTGTTGCGCACGGCACTCTTGTTGACTACAACACATTGGCACTCACGAGAGGGAAGAGAGAGAAGACGTCGTCTGAGAAGAGCAGGTTCTCGTTGTGCAGCACGTTCTTCTTGTTCACGAACGTCCTGTTCATCAGTGCCCGCTTGTGGCCCATGTCAGCAGATGCAGGGCTGTTATTGTTGTTGTTCGCACTCTCATTGCTGCATCCTTCCTCATTTTCTGGGCTGCTAGAAAGGTTAAAACAAGGACTTCATCTAAGTTAACCTTTTCCAACTGCCATTAAAAAAAAAGACTTTTTTGAAGGCAGCTTGTGGGTCAGGACGAATTTTGCGCCCGAAGAACAAAAATTGAGAATAGAAAATCTTGCAAGATTTGCATTCCGATTTAGCCGAGTAGACACAATATTTCCGTTTCGGAATATGGTTCAGGTATTCTGGTTAGGTCTCTGCAAAAAGCTACAAAAATAAAGGCAGCCGTCATTTTGTGAGAAATTGGAAAAGGCAATCAATTTAGCGAACTTCACTGTTTTCAAAATACCTTAAGTCAAATAAAACATTCTTGATAGAGTATCTATATTTTAGGACTCGACAATAATACTTGTATCCCGAAAGGTTTCTGAAGAATCACATTTATCTACTTAATAAGTTTGATCCGTCATTTTTAGCGATTCTACTCAAAAAAACTCATAAACAAATAAGGTCCTATCAAAGCATCTCAAACTAAGAGTATTTCAAATTTTATATTTCAAATTGCATCTCAAATTTATCCACGGCGGCTTTTCAGAAAAAAAATTCTGAAGTTTAGGCAGGAAAAAGTAACTATTATCTAAGCGAAATTGCTTTTCTGCGCTCTCTCCAAAACAATAGAGACCTTATTTTGCTATTTCAAAAACAGGCCAACTCAACGTTTTGGGGAAGGTTTTGACCAAAAACTTGGATTTTTTGACGGGCGCTCTCCTGGTTCTTACTGGAGACGGAAGCACGTTTAGAGAAATTTTGAAGTTGTTCGAAAAATAGAACCAAGCTTTGGACCCTATGGGTGGCCTGGGGTTCAAATTCTTGAGTTGAACAGCGACTTCCCCTGTCAAATAGTTTCACCCCTGATTTGGAGAATAAATCAGATATCACGCTGAGAAAACTTTACTATCAGACAGAAAAAAAAACAAATCGAGCTGCAGAAACCATTTATTTGAGAACTTTGGCCTTTGAAATACTTTACTGCCTGTTTTCATTCTTTTAAAATAACAATGACCCTCTGACTTTTAAAAACAAGGTCAAAACTATAGACGGTCGGATATTGCTTACATTTAGCTATTGATCGTTTTTAATCAAAGCGTTTTATAATGGCTTATGGCTAGGACATTTTTGAAAAATACAAAATCAAAACAGTTAATGATTTGTTTTGTTTTTCATCAAATATCCGTAAAAAACAACGGCAAAACTGCGCAGAAAATCTGTTCTAACTTTGATTTTTCTAATCTTAGAAATAGAATCAAAAGAGCAAGTTCAGTAGGACTGAGAAATTCAGTTTCGTGTGAATCCAATACATAAAAGATATCTCTCTGTGTTGTCAAATGACAACTATATGAAACAAGACTGCTCGTATATCAGGGCAAAGCCCTGAATGTTCCGACTGTCCCTTAATTCGTATCAAATAGTTTTTGGGAAAAGAAACTGTTTTAAAACCTATAAATTTTGAACAATATCAAAGTGCGAAATAATGAGTCGTACAAAATTAAAACGACCGATCTGATTAGCTAGCCTCAATTCAACTTGGAATAATTTTGTTGCGCGGGATAGTTCGCCACGCATAAATAATCCGCCTTACGCCCTCAACAGTATGAATAAATTCTTCAAAGTGCGCATAATTTAGACCAGAACATGGCCAATTTGGCAATTTTCAAACCCCCAGAACTTAACAAAAAATAATCGGAGGTAAAATATCGTTTAAGATTTGAACTCAAGCAGTCGATACCTTCAATGGGGTATAAAAAAAATTTTGTCGAAAATCGGCGAAAATTGACTGAATAAAAAACCACACCGAGCATAAATATTCCGTTTTCTTCGAAAGTCGGAACAATAATCGAGAAAAAAAGATAAAAAAACTGCTGGTATCAGTATTGCTTGTATGTTCTGACTCCCGTTTAAGTGCAAAGTGATATAGTTCGCAAAAACGCTAAATAGACTAAATACCATGCCACAATCTAATTTGGAACGACTTCTAGGACGGATTGAATCTCTGCTTACGCGTCAACAGCACAAATTATATCGAGCGTTAACTATCCCATATTGACAGTGTTCAAAGCCGCATAACTATACAAAAAACATCACAGGTAAGATAACTTTTTAAAACTGAGCTTAACAAAGCAATAACTTTTGGATGATACAAAAATTCAGCAAAAACTCCTAGTTTGAATGTCGAAATTTTCAATGTATCCCACACGCTCATTCAAACTACAAAAAGGATGTATTCAACGTTTCATGTACTAATAATAAGACCAATAAGACCAAATGATTTGCCTCACTTCAAAATAGAACGCATTAATCTGAAGCTTACGCCTGTTAGGAGCACGCATTATATTTTGACCATTTTAATTATCCCAAATTGGCTAAACTCGTTTTTTTTAAACCCCCAAAACTTAACGAAAAATGACGAGATGGCCGTTATGAATTCAACAAATAAAAAATCCAACCCAAGCATAATATTCTGCTTTTTCTTCGAAAACCTGAAGAAAAAGAATTTGATATAAGTACTAAAGAACTAAATGATTGTCTTTAGGTGATAACACAAAACTGATAGCTTTGGTTTCTAAGTTTTTTGCGGACAGAGCAAAAAATGATCACAACAAGGAATTGATTGGAAAGTCAGAATAAACTTTTCTCGCGCGATATTCTTGTGGTGCATGTAAATATGCATAATCGTGATTGTTTATGTATATACAATCACAAAACACTTCAAATTTCAGTAATTACACAGAACCAAAGCGAATCAAAGGTAGTGTATTGCACCACATTCGATATATCACAAAAAAGCATGACGCTAGACGACAAAAAAAGACGAAAGTCTTTTGTCGAAAAAATACTCAGAAAAAATCAAAAAAAAAGGTCTGCAAAAACTTTCAAAAAAACCAGGAACTGTCAGCAGTAAATTAGAAAAAAAACAGAAATTATGAATCTGTAATTAGGCCAAGAAATTTTAGCAGAGGCACGTTAAGCCGGAAATATTGAGGTACAAAAAAATTCGAAACTCGAGTTTTTCAAGTTTCGCATACCTCGAGCACACACAAACGAATAAAGCAATATGGAACAACTAAGCCAAAAAAGGTTATCCATTAACTTTTAAGCCGAATAACGATTTTAAGCAAAAAAAAGACAAAAAAAACAAAATAACACCAATATGAACAAAAATTTCGTCACAGAGGCAAAGCTGTGCTTCGCAAACACTTGCGAGCCCACGGCAAAAAAGCAGCTCTACTAAGTGCAATAGAGAAGTTAGAAAAGGAGCTTTGAATTAGTAAAACATCGGCTACCTCTGGGATTCGAACCTGTGACATAGTGATTAAGAGTCTCACACACTAACCATGGAAGCTTAATAGGCACCAAACGGTAGCCGCAAATAAAGCAGAGAAAATATGCTACAGTGAAATGTCCATACAAATGAACATTTTTAATGAACACTTTTATTTGCGAATTAGGTTAGAAAAAAAAGAAGTTTTGTAATAATACACTAAGCTGATCGCAAGTGTAAATAGAACGAGAACTTGAGAAACAGAAATACTTCAGACATCTCAAATTAGACTATGTTCCGATTTGGAAGCGCTTAGTAACCGCAAGCATAAAAGTATTAAATCTAGAAGCGAATATGTTTGAATGCAGATATCATCTAAAGATTTCAAACCTTTCACCAGCCAAAAGTCCCCTTTTATTACTATAACCCGACATCGACGAACGCATAGAATATGAACGCGTAGAATGTGAGAGAATAAGTCAAGATCGACACCTTCTTTTCAAAAATTATAACTCAGCAAAATTGGAAAAACATTTAAAATTTTTTTTAATAAATGTTCCGCATTTTTGTACAATAATTTAAACTTTTTTTAGAAAAATTTCATTGCCAAAGGAAGTGCTAAAGGAAACATCCAAAAAAATTTTTTTCATACTAAAATTAATTTTTGTGAGCCTAAAAGTCTAGAAAAGGCCAATTTCCTTATAACGAACATTTCTCGATCGCGTTAAATGCTTAAAATTTGACGAAAAATCAAAAAATGAAAACTAAGCAAAAAATGGAAAAACATTTTAAAATTATTTTAAAAATGTTTCGCATTTTTGAACAAAAAATTAAACTTTCTTTTAGCATTTTTTTTCATGTTTAAATCAAATTTTATGAGCCTAAGAGTCTAGAAAAGGCTAATTTCCTCACAACAAACATTAATCGATCGCGTTAATCAATCAAAATTTGATGAAAAATTAAAAATTTCAACTCTTTTTTTTTTCAACACTGGGAATTTTTTGGAAATTTTAAAGGTAGTTCGAATCACGACTGAAAATATTTTATTATGATAAATCACTCAACTAGGACAAAATATTCGGACCATATTCCTAGAAAAAAGTGTTAATTTTTTGGTTAATACTTTTCTGCAAATTAGTGTCGCTTTTGGTGGGTGGTGGGATTCGAGAACTAAACTTTTATTGCCATTAAGCGCTAAATGAAACATCCAAAAAAAAATTTCATTATAAAATCAAATTTGGTGAGCCTAAAAGTCCAAAAAAGCTAATTTTCTTAATAAGGAGAAATCACTCGATCGCGTTACTCGCTCCAAAATTGACGAAAAATCAAAAATTTCAATTTCGTTTTTCTCGACACTGAGAAGCTTTTTGGAAATTTTTAAAGGCCGCTCCAATCACGACTTAAAAAGTTTTAAAATGATAGATCACTCATCACAGTCTTATAATTGTTTGTGGTACCAAACGGCGGATCTAAGATTTTCTCGAAAAAGGGGGTTTCGAAAAAAGTCAAAAGTTTTGACTTAGACTTTTTTTAGGTCGACCAAATTGATTTTCGGAGCTCTCTTAAATCAAAATAAAGACACCATTTTGACAAAATGTTCTGCGTCGCAGGCACTTTTTTGAAAAAAACAGGCCAGAAAAAAAAATTGCGTTTTTTTCCAGCGCGCGCTCTCCCCGCAGAATTAGTATATTTTGGCACCATAGAGTCCGTCAGCCAAAAATGGATACCTCAAAATAGTACAAAGGGTGCCCTTTTGGATCGGCAGGGGGTCGACTCTCTGAGAAGATAGGAGTCAACCCTCTCCCCCCTAAATCTACTGGTGGTGGTAGCTGACTTTGCGTGGAAAACAAAAAATAAATATAAAAACTAAAACACACTCGAATACTAAGTTCCTCCCATTTTTTTTCAAATGGTCGGAACAAAAAATTGAACCTTCTTTAAGCCTTCATAGCTGCATATGATTTATAAAGAAACTCCTGGTAAAAAAAACACCTGATGCTTGTACTTCCAATTTTTCAAAATTCAAGAACAAGCAATTTTGAGCAGTAGAAAGTTCGCTGTTCCGACTATTGAAAATGGGGAGGAACTTTGTTTTCGGGTGTGTTTTATTTTCTTTTCTTTTTGTTTTCCACGCAAGATCAGGTGCCACAAGCAATCTTCAGATGGGGTTGACTAACATACTAAAGCCCTTTCAGTCGTGATTCGAATCACATTAAATTAATTCAAAATAATTTTCCCAGTGTCGAGAAAAACTTGTTTGAAAATTTTGACTTTACGTCTCACCTTGAGCGAGTAAAGCGAGCGAGCAGGCTTATTGTTGCTTAATTCAGGCCGTTTACAAGAGCTTATTTATGCTTAATTTTACTTTCACTCGAGTAAAATTAGTTTTTTGAGTTTTTCAACGCCATTTTTGAAATCAAAATTTCAAAACATTTGTTAAAAAATTATTGAAAAAATTTGTGAATTTTAAAAAATTTTTATGATTTTTTTTCTAATCATTTCTCTTCAAAAACTGTTGTCCGATTTTCCTATTTCACTATGACTGTCGAACTTGACTTATTTCTAGTTTTTTGTTCAGATCCTTTATCACACCACCTAGAAATAACGACACTGATTTAAAAAAAATTTTTTGTGTGTTTTTAAAGACTATGGTCGGAACATTCTGCGCTACTTGCTCAGTAACCGTCTATCCTTGTTTCAATGATAGATCGTTTTGAATTGTAATATTGAAGTTTTCGGTTGTGTATCATTAACCTGCTTTTCTGCTTCTCGTAATCTCCTGTTGAAGTCTGTGTCACCGATGAGTCAACGTGATTGTCAGCAGCAGTTGTCTCCAGCTGTTCCAGAGTAGGAGCAGAGGGCAGAATTGAGCCAGTGTTATTATGGGTGCCGATACCATTCTGCTCATAGATGGCCAATTCCTGCTCACAACTGGAGCGACAAAAACAGATTCATGTTGAATATTTTTCAGAAAGAGTTCTTGGAAACATTAAAGAGATTTCTGATAAAATTAATCTGCAATATTTTACCTATACACAAAAAATTTCGACCGGCGCAGAAAGTGTTTCAGCGTAGTGAAATAAGCACGCTGAAAACATTCACTAGGAAACCCAAAATTTAAAGAAAATCATCTTTTAAAAAAATCATAAGAAATTGCAACGTAGTGACTCTTGAGCGATTTCTGAGAGAAGGCGTAAATTCCTATATACGTTTCTAAACGTGCATCATGAATCCCGGTCGGCCTCGATCCTCTTGATCGAAAGAGGCTTAAGCAGGCTCGGATCTAGGATTTTCTCTAGGGGGGGGGCGGATTTTCAAAAAAAAATTTGAAAATTTTGTCGATCTTTTTTTTAGGTCGACCAAATTGATTTTTTGAGCTCTCCCAAATCACTATAAAGACCCCATTTTGACCAAATTTTCTGCACCGCAGGCGCGCGCTCCCCCGGTTTTTTTTCGGCGCGCGCTCCCCCCTCAAAATTAATATATATTGGCGCCAAAGGCGCCTTTAGAGCAATTTCAGGGTCAGTCAGCCAAAAATGGATATCTCAAAGTAGTACAAAGGGGGACCCTTTGGGTCGGCAGGGGGACGACGAATCCCTGAGAGAAGGCGTCCGCCCTCCGACCCCCCCCCCCCACCCCTAAATCCGCTACTTGGCTTAAGCAACTATAACCCCTTCTACACACTATCAGTGTTAATTACCCTTTGATGAACTCTTCATCTTCTTTGCGAGACGGCAGGAGTTTCCACTGGAACTTAGCGATGACGTCACTCCTGTTCGTGATTCCGACTGTCCTTCTGGTCGAAAGAGAGATGAAAGTGTTCTCCATCCTCACTGTGCTCTTATCTAGTCTGATGTTCACATCTGTCGCTACACCACTTACACGCACACACAAGTCTTCGCCTAAAAAAACATATCGTAATCTCACGGGGGATTTACGACAAATTAGCAGGATAACCTAGGGTATCAGAGGGTGTCAAAAAAATCAAAAAAAAACTTTTTAGCTGAAAAAAGTGACCCTCAAAACCAAAAGTTACCTCATATGAAAACAATCCTAAGGGTTTCAAATTATCATTTTTTGTTCAAACTTTTTCGGAATTCTACGAAACAAAACCGTCTTGAATGCAATTTTTTCGGACGAGCCAATGCTTTTTGGCTATCAGAATACCCTTTTTGGACCCAACCAGGGTAAAAATTCAATATATGATTCTTCGTTTTTTTGTGCTATACTATCTTCTAATTTTGGGATTAAGTATGTTGGTTGGGTTCTTTCAATCGAGATGGATTCCTGGAAAGAGGCTTTTAACATTCTTGGCTTTAAAATAAATATTTGCTGTCAGCATTTGGATTTTTTCCTTTCTTTTTATTTTTTGGCGCGACCATCTTCTAAGCTTGCTTTATTTAGGGACCCAGTTATTGTATTAGTACCATCAGTTTCTGATACACACCTGTGTCGTAATGTATTTCCAACAGCTCATTGTGACACCCATTTGTAATTGGCTGAAAATTGACAACTAGCTGCATATTCCCGCCAACAGGAACCGAACCGTGTTTAGGCTCGATGTCAAATGCACCCCTTGTTTTGCACGTGAATCTGCACTCCCTGTCGCCTATGTTCCGCACGAAGAGTGTTTTGCATGCCAAGTTTTTCACTGGGTTCGGTGCAAACTTGACTTCGTCTGGGAAGTCTAGGATTGCACGGCCGTTTATTGCACGGATAGGGATGGCAAACTTCTCACGGTCAGTGACAACAAACAGTTCGTGTAGATAGTCCTGAAATGAAAATGTTTCTCCAACTTTTTTACGACAAAATGAAATTGCTTATCCTGAAATAAAACTGTTTCTCCAACTTTTTGGCTTGAAAAATAATTAACTATTTTTTCATATTTAGCACAAGCGACCATTAAATTATTTATTATAGCAAGACACTACGGAGGTACCGTTTAGGTGATGAAGGGGCTGAATTCATGAAGGGATGTTCGTTCCTTCTGCCGAAACCCGTTTTTCTGCTCAAACGCTGAAATTATTTATAGTTTGTATGTATGTATGTATGTATGTATGTATGTATGTTTGTATGTATGTATGTATGTATGTATGTATGTATGTATGTATGTATGTATGTATGTATGTATGTATGTATGTATGTATGTATGTATGCATGTATGTATTTATGTGGATATTTTGACAAGGTTTCAAAAGGGTAATGTTGAAGCTTCAGACATTTTAAAAATTGATAGTCCATTAATCTATTCTACCCACCTTTGGTTCGTCCGGCAGGAACTGTATCTTGAATGTGCATGTCATCCCAGGCGCCACTTTATCTCCCGGGTTCTTGGGAGGAATGATTTTGAAGTAGGCTGAACTTTCATGAGTCACTTTCACCAGTCGTGCAGTCTGGTCATTATTCCTCAACTAGAAGTCCAAAAAAGGTTAAAGGTCAAAGTGTTCCTATACGCTTACAAACAGCTGAAGAGATAATTCGGGGAATGAATTATGTATTCGATTACGTGCGAAATGAATTTATTATCTTGACATTTTAATTTTTTTTTTTGAAAAAAAATTAAATTACAAATCTGAATGATAGGATGGTGAAGGTTCTTGTTAAAATGCTGAAGGTTCTTGTTCAAACGAATACTGACCTGTAAGCTTTGCTCGTACACTTTGCATGGTTCGAACTTCTGATAGATGATTTCACTGGGAAACGGCTGGAACAGAGGCTCGTCAATGGGAACTCCACAATTCTAAAATATGAGCAAATCAGTTTCTATAGTATAGTTTTTTCTAACACTTAAATTACACAAGAACAAAACGAAGCTTCGTTATACGTGCAAAGCAAAACAAAATGCTGGTGAATCAGGCATAAAATTTGACTCTGTGAAAAGACCGCGGCCTATTTCATATTTTTTCAATCTTTCAAGATTTCCAATAGGAAACACAATGCATATATTCTCTAAAACACAAAAATTGGTAAAACTTAATTGGAAAAATTCAACTTTGCCCAAGGAACTATTTGTAAAAAAAATCAGATTTTTCAGATAAAATCATAAGAAAATCGTTCTGCACTTCGCAGACTTAGATGAGAACAGAGGCAAAGCGGAGCTAGTAAAGAGAAAAAAACACTTCTTTGTCACGGATTACCTTCAAAAACAACCAAAAAAAGCCTTTCAATGCAGTTTACCTTCCATTTAACAAACAAATGAACTGATCTCAAAAATTAATCAAAAATCAAAATGCGAAAAACCAAATTTGAGCGTGCACAACTTTTACACAGAGGCGAAGCACCATGGGTGATACCACATAAGAAAAACACTGCAAGCCCGCAGCCGTAAAATGAAAGGAAAGACATTTTAAAAGAGAAAACATTGGCAACAGAAGATAAGAAAAAGCAAAAGAACAAGAAAACGGAAAAAATTTAATTGAAAATTATGAAATTTTTGAACAATTTTCAAATTTCGAAAAAAACTAGACCATGGTAACGAATTTTGAACTTCAAAACCTGCCCATTATTTGGTATTTGTTTAAAAATCAAACAATTTAGAGAAAACAGGATGGAACCGTTATTGGGGCGAACCCCGTTGAGACGAAAACAAAACTGTTATCATAAAAAGTTTTGATAAAATTTTTTACGGAACACCCCCCCTGAATCGCACAAAATCATTTAGATAAAAAGTTGCGCCTTCTACACGATATGATATGAAGTAAACCAAACAATTTCTGGAAAAAAAAAGATGATTAAAGCTATTCAAAATCAGAATTTTACAAACTTAATTGATAGTATAATTAATATAAGATTTAAATTAAAATAAAAACAATCTTTCTCTGTAAATACGCTGTTCCAAAGTGTCTCAACTTGAAAAACTGCATTTAAATTAAGGGAAAATGATCCGAGGGAAATTAGAACGAAAGATACGAATCCGAAAAAAATATATATATTTTTTTTTCAATATGCTTATTTGAAAAAAATATTAAGTACCTACGATGAACAACAAGAGATATTTTTATTTGAAAGTTCAAGAAATTGAGCATGTTAGTGCGGCAGTAACTGCAGCAAACGAATGTAACTGCTTTAATTGAAAGTAACTGCTGCAGCAGCAGCAGTATTTTTTACCGAAAAGTTACGAAAAAAAGTCTAGCTCCCGATTACTCAAACAATTGCTCTCGCAATTGAAAAAAAAACATGAAAGAAGGATCTTAAAACAAAAAAGCATAATATACGAAAACAGGGATAGCCGGTTGCGGTGCAAAACAAATCAAAAAAAGAGAAATTTTTCAGCAATTTTTGTTGTCTAAATATTTTTTCCTAGAAAATGCAATTGAACTAGGTGAAAAAACAAGAAAGAACGGTAACTAAATTTGAAAAAAAAAAACGTTGAATGTAGAGTTTAAATTCTAGTTGAATAAAACTTAAGCGGTCAGGTCAGTTTCTCATCAAATTTAGTCAATTTTAATCTGAAAAACAAAAAAATCAGATCAGTTTTTTTGACACGGGAACAACTGTCTAATCTTTTTGGAATCTTAATCACGGCCAATGGAGCTTTAATAAAATACCACTAGTGAAATCTTACAATCTTTCTTTGAGATTGTCAAAATTGGCTGAAAAAAAGGACCATACGCCATGGTTTGTTCCAGTCTTTTTCAGTGACCTGGTCGGAACAAATAAAGATCTGAATAGATACAAGTCCTTACGAGCGAGTTGGACTGTTCTCGAATGTCTAGCAGTTCGATCACTCTGGGTACTCTAATCTCAGTGACGTCATCCCTCTTCTCCTCAGTATCTTGTTGCGCCACTCGAAGGAACTCAGAAGGAACCAGCTGAAAAACACATAAGACACAAATACACGCTGCACTTGAAATGAAGACACTTTTGAGTTTTTTAGTACTAAAACCTACAAAATGTAAAAATATGATCTTAAGGCTGCGCTTGAGAGACAATAGAAAACAAAAACAGAATGATTTTTCGACAACATTCTTTTGATTACGTGAATTTTTAAATAAAAAAATTAACCTTTTTTCAAATAAACAGCGTATTTGACACAGTTTATATACTTCAGAACCCTCAAACTTGAGGAAGATTTGGTCCAAAAGAGAAACTTTTCATTTAAATCAACTGCAACTACCTAAATGACTATGAACAACACCAAAAGCAACAAGTAATTAAATAATTATTACCGCTCGTTTTTCCAGGGGCTCCTTCACAACTCGGGGGTTCTTTGGGGGGATTTTGACCTTGGACTTGGTTGACGGGGGCAACACAGTAGGCATTTTTATCAGTCCTTAGTTAAATGGGTATATTCCACTTCAGAGGCTAGAAAAAAATCGTCAATCATCTTACAAAGGTATTCATTGTACATCTGAAACAAAATAGAAACATTTACAAGAGTGGTATGGTATGAATAGTTGAAACGTTTACTTCATTGACTTCAAGTGAATGAATTTCTTCAAAGAACCAATTTGATTTTATACTAGGGCTTCTAATTCTACTAAAGGCCACACAATACTTGACTCACTTCAATTAAGCTAAGCTACATGGTTGACCGTAAAGCATGTAATATTCCAGAATGAACCCAATGAGTATTTAATTGATTCTTTCCATTTCGTATTCAGAATTCAAGATGAATTCGAAACTCTCCCGACTTCAGAGAGTTTTCAACTTAACTTTTACGAGAAATTTTTCGCCTAGAGAAGGGTCGCAGCATGGTGTTCAAGGTAGACCTGCCCTATATGGAATGATACATGTACTGCCAACAGCCGGATCACCGCTGTCCAAGGTAAGACGCCGTTTTCTGTCCAAAAAGGATGTCTCCTTCTCATAATAGCCCCCTATCAAAAAAAACTTAGCCCTCCCCCACACTAAGGGGTGCTATTAATTGCTTTTATTATGCGGTGCTATTACTTGCTGGAAGGGGGATCTTTATAATGAAAAACCGAGAGAAGATGTTAACTTTAAAAGCACTTTAGATGTCCACTTGTACTTTGGCAGATTAAATTCAGCCAATGAATCTTTGGGATGAATTATTGGGTTTCAGAAAATGACTCATGTGCCTTGAGCCCACAAAAAAAACATCATTTTTACATCAGTTAAACATGTTTCAAAACATCAATTAAAACTTTGTCGGAACGATCAAAGAAAATGAAAGAACAAAAGAAGAACAAAGGGAGTCCTTGTTGCGGAATCCGCTTACAATTCACAAAATGCACAGTTTGGCCTCGTAATGTTGTCTTTATGAAATGTTTGCAGGGTGAGTCAGTTTCTGAACTAGTGGACAGAGCCCTGGAAGAGGCGGAGATATTCAGAAAGTACCAATCATCTTTCTCCGGAGTCATAATTGAGAACATGTTCGACACTCCCTATCTCAGACCGGAACAGGGCTCTTTTACCAAACACCCCTTCCTCTGCCCAACCATTAGCCCCTGTCATAAGAAATCAAAATTTTGAGACCCATCTAAAACTTTTGCCCTTATACCTCATACTCATTGATCTCAAGAATGAAAATTTAGTCAACTTTGTGATCATGTCATTTTTTTTCACGAAGAACATTAATCTTGAAATCTCTATACATGCATAACCTGAATAGCCCAGTGCCTCCAAACAGATGCGTGCAGTGTCTCCCCATACTGTGACTACTATGGCGGTCGTGGCCAATGAAGTGAGAAGGGTGTTGCAGAGGGGGGAGGGGTTCAAGATTGGGATACAGATATTGTCAGGTTAGAGCGCAATTCGAAAATGTTATCAACATCGTATTTTTTACGCTCGAAATAATGTAAACCGCTTCAAATAAGTCAATGAAAAAAATTGACAATTCGTTCGATATCAAAAACTATGTGGAGCGTTCCTGTTAATCTATTCATATTTTGAGTATTGCCAAATTTGACAATTAAGCATCAAGGCTCCTGAAATTTTGTGATTGGCAAAAAAATCTACATTCATTCGTTGTACTCTAAATTGACACGAACAACCACCTAGCTCCAACATGAGCTTAAGTTGTAGATGATAGTGTTTTCTATTGGTGTTAGTTTTTTCTATTGGTGTTGGTGTTTTCCATTGGCTCTAAAATAAGCATAGGTTTCTCGGATTACCAGACTAATTTTTTTGCAATATGTTATTGATATTTGGATTGACCAGAATAAAAAGATACAACATGAAATTCAAAGTTTTTAAACAATTTTAGTATTCAAGTTGTCGGGAAAAAAATCAGAAATTGACTTGGAATAAGAACTGGATAACGCTAACAAAAATCAAGTAGAGTAAAACTTTTCAGGAGCAAACAAAGAAGCTCTGGCAGTTGCCATGGCAACAGATTGCGACTTCATTCGGACGGAGGGGTTCGTATTTGGTCACGTGGGAGACGAGGGGTGGACGCAAAGCTGTGCCGGTGAGTTACTGCGATACAGGAGAACAGTAAATGCCGAACACATCGGAATATTCTGCGATATTCAAAAGAAGCATTCCTCACATGCCATAACAAGTAAATACTACTAACAAAAATTAATTATAATCTTTTAAATACATAATGAAATACATATATAAATGAAATTTATCATTTAAATTTTCTAATGACGCTATTGAATGCCATAACGAAAATTCAGCTATGAATGAACGTTGGTGTTGGTTATTGTTATATAACATGTTCCATACATATTCAATGCAACTAGGTAATAGTGATTATACATTCACATATATACAAGCACACACATGTAAATACGTTCAATAAAACACATAAGAACGAGAAATAATATGTATTGATTTCGTTTAAGGTGATTTATCAGTTGAGGATCACGCAAAAGCAGCTGAATTTTTTGAAGCAGACGGCGTAATTTTAACTGGAAAAGCGACTGGCGATCCAGCTAATGTCGAACAATTACATCTAGTGAAAAATGCCTCAAAAAGATTGAAAGTTATGATTGGCTCTGGAATCGAACCTGCAAACATCGCTGAATACGCACATGCAGATTGTTTGATCGTCGGATCTAGTCTTAAAGTCCACGACGACTGGAAAAACAGATTAGACGAGACAAAAATTCAAACCCTTGTTGATCAGTATCAAAAAATTAAATTAGAAAATTGAACCTCAGTTATCAGTAAATCAATTTTGCTCTTTTTAATTTATTTTTTTAAATGGTCGTTTTTATATAGCAGAAGTCCCTGACATGCTGAAACTTTTGCAAATTAGTTGTTGACATCTTATAAACTTTCTAAAATGGAAAGCAAAAATTTGAAGCACTCTTCTCAATTCATTAGAGAGAACCATAATAAAATCAATGTGATGGATTTGTGCACCTTTAGGAAAAAACTGATATCATGTAAAAAAAAATTACAAAACTCAAAACTTTCATATTCATTTTGAGGGAAAAAACTAGAGCTTCAACGACGCGTTTTCAGGAATTATATTACGTGACCAAAAACAGTTTAATAATAACTATTTTCGTAAATGAAAATACATTTTGCGAAATAATGTTTAACGTTTTTATCTAAGTTCAGCAAAATCAAACTCATCATCTTGAAAAAGAACCTAATTTTATGGATTTGAGGACTTTTGATTGGGGAGTTAACTGATATTTTAAACACAAACTTAAAGATCCGTTTTTATTATCTTTTTTGCTCTAAATTTTCTGCCAATTTCTTGGGTAGGGGAAAAGAATTGCATTTAGAAATCAGCTAGCACCAATTACAATATAAAAATCTATTAGATCAGCAAAAAATCTGAAAAACACAGAAATTTAAGACAAGTTACACCAACCCACTATCGAAAAACAAAAGTTTTGGATAATAACTCATTGGCTTGTCTTTTTGAGCTGCTCAAAAAAAATAGAAAAAGCAGCAAGGAAATCCGGTTGTTGTGCAAATAGCACCGAATGGTCCGACCAGATTGAACTAATTTGAGCAATTATAAAACATGCAAAAATGAAAATTTGTATTTCTTGAAGCTTTGTATATTTGAGGATTGAAGAAGGGGATTGAATTAGGCAAGAGGCTAAAAATATAAAGATAAAATAACCAATGAAATCGTAAAAAAACGTAGTAGGTTGGATAAGGAGATCAGCCTTTTATTCGTTCAATCCAACCCTGAAAAAAATTCAGACCTGTTTTCTCGACACCGAAACTTTTTAAATTCTTTTTTTTTGGAATCTTCTGGAAGGTTTAATTGGGCTTTGATAACATATAAAACTTGACTCTCTGCAAAACTTCCCTGAGGAAGTTCGAAACAACACGACAAAAACGGTGAATTCTTTCGTAAAAAGTTACCAAATAGAACAAAAAATCAAGACCATTTAAAAAAGGTTGACTGAACTAACTCAGCAGAATTACAATGAAAACAAAAAAAACTTGAGCTACTCAAAAAAAAATTAAAAAGAAGAAATACCGACAATGCATAGTACCGATAGTCACAAAGCAAAAAGAAATAATTTGAAAAGTTTTTTCTTAAATTATTACTACTTGATTGGTGCGCATAAATTAGTCAAAGATCTATAAAAACACGGAAAACCGGTTGGTGTGCAAGTAGCACAGAATTTTCTGAACATAATAAATCAAGAAAAAAATCAAAAGCGCGATTCAAATTTTCTCCATTTATCTCAAATGATGTCTGTTTTGATTTTTTCTTGATTTATTGTGATCAAAACATTATGTGCTACTTGCAAACCAACCGTTTTTTCTTGTTTTCAAAGAAATCTGATTGATTTATGTGCATCGATCAGGTAGTAATACGTTGAGAAAAAAACGTCTTATAAATATTTTTTTTTGGCTATGGGACAATCGATACAATGTATTGTCGGTGTTTCTTCTCTTTTAATTTTCTTTTTTTTTTTAAAAAATTGTTCAAGTTTTTTAATCGTAATTCTGCCGAGTTTTCTCAATTTTTATTTTTTTTTCAAGAACTTTTTTTCATTTACAAAAAAATTAAAGATAATTGTTTTTTTTTAATCAGGAGAAAACGAAAAAAAAAAACGAAATAATGAGATGCAACAACATTTAAAATAATGTTGAAGTTGAAGTCGAATTAAATTGAGAGGCCAGCCTCTCATCAAAATTCGTACTAATTATTCTGAAAGCCGAAAATAAGCAGACTATTTTTCTCGACTATGAAAGAACTTCTTCCCTTTTTTAGAAACAAAACTAGGACCAACAGAGTGTTGATATGATAACACACTTGAACCCCATGGACGGTTCTTGAGATAGTCAAAATTGACTAGAAAAAATGAACCGACTCCAAAGTTCTTATCCACTTCGAACAAAAGAAGTATTTTATTCATCTGGACAATAAGCTGAACAAAACATCGCAAAAAAACTTATTTATTCAGTTCGATCGTTGTATAAAATAGTTAGAGACCTAGATAAAACATTGATTTATTCATCATTTGAAAAAACAAAAAGCTTAACCTACAAGAATTTACAAAAAGTCCGCTAAGTCGAAAAATATACGGCGAAGACAAATATTGCAACAAAAAGTTTCGATTGGTAATCGAACCCTATAGTTTTGGAACCTTAAGTAAGCGCTGAGCGTTCTTACTACTGACGAAAAAGTTTGTGAGTTTTGTATCCTGTTATCACAAAAAAGTGTCTCAGAAGATTGAGAAAATGTTTAGATAGAAAAAGTCTTCACTTTTCTCTGACCTTCAATTTTTGAGTTCCGAGTACTTCAAATTTAAATGTCACCTCTCAGCTAAAACGAAATTGTCACCTTTAATCTTTTAAGAACAAGACTGACAGGAAAAAAAGAGCAGGGTACCCCCCCCCCCAAAAAAAAATACAGAACAGCCCTGCTCCCCCGCGATTGTTTTTTTGAAGTCAATAAAAAATTGACAAACTGAGAGGGCTAAAATTTCGTTATTCTTCTAAGTTGGGAGCACAATAATGGGAAAGACACGTAGAACTGAAATGGGAAACACCGGATTATGACTAATAAAGTTGATTTGTGTTGTCCCATATATCGCTTGTGCGTGATTCATTTCTTAACAATATATAATCATGACATCACGTACACATGATTAGAATGTTTCAAACTCCATTCTCTGAAACTAAATGGGAAAAACTTATTATATTCAGCCAAAAACACTCGAGAAAAAAACGAAGAAAGGCACTCAATTATGATAGATGAAACTACAATTCAAACATCTTGGGGTTGTCTTAGAATCAGTTTTAACATTCGAGGATGAAGTCAAGTTGATTTTAATGGATCAGTTGGGCAATCAAAAATATGAGAAAAAAATATAATTTCAATTACCTAAAACTGACGGAAACGGATTATGGGGCTCAAGGTTTAGCCGAACAATCTTTGATGTCAAAGTCTTCAACCCGCACGCAAAAACTTCACGAAGACTACTGAAAGACGCCTATAAGTACCACGAATCACTAAAAAACTCAAAATACCAACAGAGAGTTCCAACAAGTTCCAAAATACCAACAAGTCGAACAGAGCAGCTTCTGCCCGCTCATTTTTGGCTGCACTGGTGGTGCCGCACGCACTTGCAGCTACTCGGACAATGCAGCGGATAGCTGAAAAACTTAGTGAAAAAAGGCATGAAAGCTACGCAGAAACAATAAACTATATAAGAACTAAGATAAGCTTCGCGCTGCTCAGGAGCGCTATCCTTTGTATACGGGGTTGCAGATCACTGCGTAAGACGCAATTCATAGACAATTCAGTTAGTGCTGTTGTAGAGGAGGGACGGTTGAAGTAAATACTTTTAATGACAATGCATTAAACGCTGACTTGACTTAATTCCTGCAATATTGCTTATTGATGTATTTATATAAGGCTGGTATCGGCCCTATTCAGCTTGTGCACGACCGTACCTAAACGAAAGGGCCCCTTTAATAAAATACCTTTCAAATTTCAGTCACCTAAAACTGACGGAAAAAAATACCCCGAGCATAAACATTCCGAAGTCCTTCGAAAGTAAAAAAAAATAAAACTGTGTTCAAATGCAGAACAATTTCTTGATCGGATGTCGGGAAAAGACACCAACAATTTTGAACTTTAACTTCTATATCTTCATAGTAGTATCCGTTATCGCATAAAATATGGTATAGATTGATGTCTCTTCTAGAAATCACAACGTCACAAATGTGAACATCCCTGATATCATCGTTCAAAACAAAGACTTCGCTAGAAAAAGCAGAAGAATAGAAACCATTTTATGAAAATTGGAATCATTGCGCTATAAATGAACTGAATGTTAATTTATAATCTAACTTCTCGCAAAGTAAAATATGAACAAAAAATGAATGGAATGGTGAATCTATAATCTAACCTCTCGCAAAGCATTAGAGCTACGATCTTTACACAGATCAACGATCTCTACGGTCTTTTTCTACTGTCTTAACGACTAAGTTCATAAACATGCTCGAGTTTACTAGACAGCAAAGTTAATCGAAAAAGATCTACAGCTTTAACGAATGCGAAAATTAACTATTTTTTCAAAAACATGGTGGTGTTTTCTAGACAGCGAAGTTAATCGAAAAATTGAACTCAAAGAATTCCCAAAATATCTAAAATCTGTAACATTCGCCCGGAAGATACATATCGACGGATAACAAAACTAAGTCTTAAGACGACTGGCTAGCGTCTAAACAGAGCTTTGCATGTTTTTCACCGTCTCTACCAAGCCAGTACTTTTCGGTGGTCTTTCTTACATCAGGTCGACAAAAACGTTACTGTTCTCCGGCTTCGACCAGAACGCTCAAATTAACTGAATTACATGCAAAAATAGTGAGCTCATGGCTGGGTCTCAGTATCCCCAGACCACGAGGTCACTCCTAAAAACAGGGCTACTACTTATTATATTACTATTGTTTTTGTTCAGTAGATAAAAACCATCATCTCCATCGAAGATGGATCAACCCTTTCCCCCCCAACTCTTAGCACCTCATCCTTGTCAAAACTAATCCAAATATCAATTAAATTCAAGTCAGGACATGACAGGATGCTAAAAGTTCATATGAGTCAATAAAAGTTTTCCGTCCCGAGACCCTTCCGGATTCTTAAATCCAGTGAATCAAGCTCCTCAAGTTCGAATTCACGATAACACGGAGGGCTGATTTCTTACCCTTCACCGTTGTTCGCAACGGCCTTGCAACTATTGTAGCAGCACAATAGTTGCAACTCGGAACGTTCTCTG